CAAGACATTCATGCTCATGATGAGTGGGTGTAAACGTCTGACCACAACTGTACGCGCATGTATGAATTTAAGTAATTCACACCATAAATGTGTGGGTGCAAGATGACTCACTTACTGTACACGTGTGTGAAAACCTGCCTATTTACTGAAAAAAGAAGGGCGATAAAGGTTGCCGGCTCCACCTAATTGGTGGCACCTGTCACAGTAAGTTTTGACCCCCAGAGAAATATCATCGATCACCCGGGACAAAAATAGCATCTGGAGCCCAGCTTCCAGCCAACAATGAAACTTTCTCCTCCTCACTCGTTCTGGTAATTAACAAAATCATTCACACAGATGAATCTAGCTGACGATCTTCAAACAATACCCATTCATACCTGTTACAACCTTTAACTAATGAGCTCTCCTTCTGTTTAAGCTGCTACTTTGAGGAAAACATTTGAAAACTGCAGCATGGCCCAGGTCAGATCCCAGAGACACGTTCAGTGAAAAAATCATGCTTTGTTTTCCTTTTTCTTTTCTTGTCTCATATTATTGATTTTTAAAGATATGCAAATTTGTCCCAACACAGTGCTCAAGTCAAGGAGGCAATGCCCACCCTACATCACAACTCAAATATAGCTACACCAATTAAGGCCAGTTCTTGTATGCTACACTGGGCATGTGGAAGAAATCATTCTCCATTACTGTATTATAATTCTCTTGATGTCTGATTGTGCAGCAAGTCAGTGGATGAAAAAGACGGATAACTTTGGGGAGGAGCAGCACGCTTAATTGGATTCTGCATTATTGTGAACAGGACTGTAGAGATGACAGAAATGCTCCTGATTCAGAATCGTTCGTTAGTGGGCAAAATAAATGGATCAGGGTGTTAAGTTTAGCCCTAATTATTCTGTTTATCTTTTTGTTTAGTCCCTTTATCTCCCTTCCTTGCTTCACTACAGCTGTCAGAGTAGGAGTAAAGTAATTGCAACCTGTCTCTGGTCTACACTGGCCATCAGCCCAACATAGAGAGCCAGAGGAGGGCCACAAAAAGAAAAGAAGTGGGAAAAAAAGATGCGTTAACAAATAAACTGAAGGGGGAGGGTGGGGTGAGTAGACAATGTAGAATCTATAACAGCGAGAAATGGAAAATATAAAGGAGAGTGACCAAGTGAACAATGCTGATGAAGATGAGAACGAGCGGAGAGAGGGCCGGCGAGATGAAAGGATGGAGGGTGAGCAGAATGGCAGAGGGAGAAGGGGAGGGTAAGCTTCCGACAAAAGGAAGTGGGAGACAATCCAGTAAGGCACATGGTGTGTGTGTGTGTGTGTGTGTGTGTGTGTGTGTGTGTGTGTGTGTGTGTGTGTGTGTGTGTGTGTGCGTGCGTTGGTTTGTTTGTTTCTCACACATGTTTGAGCACCAACATGGTAAAGGAGTGCAAGCAGTAGCTGGTCACAGCCCCTAATAGCATTATATTACTTGGTGCCAAATCTGAAAGGCTAGATTGCAGGCTGTTAGGGATTTAATTCTAAATTAAGCCTGTAAGGAGAATGTTTGCATGTAAATCCATGTACCAAACCATTACTCTGTGTGTGAACACAACAGCTAGAAACATGAAATTATAGTACTGAGACAACTAAGAGAATGCCGAGCTTGGCTCATAAAGCTGTCAGATGTGCGCACACATATGGATGTGTGCTCAGGTAAGGCTAATAATTACTAAGATGCTAAATGCACATTTTTCAACCTTTCATTCAAGCCTGTGAAGTTTATATCAGCTGTTAAGCCTCCAAACTCACACACATGCAAAGATTCACATTGAAAAACGATTGGAGTGCAGCTAAAGCGTGAGGAGTGGAGGAACAAAGGGGAAGCAGAATGTGACAGAGTGAGTGAAGGAAGGCCAGAGCACTGACTCTCCTTCTCCATGGCTGCTGGCCTTGAAGCCTGCTGACTCCGAATGGCACGTTTGGCAAAGGAGTGTTTACTGTGAGTCCTCAGAGCTATGATGCATTTTAATCTAAATATAAGGAAGTATGTTTTATTGTTTGCTTTGATTGCACAATTTGGCTCAGCTCCCTTTTCAAACATGTTTTTGTCCAAAAGTGGCAGATCTTTAAAGTGGGGGTTTGGCTCAGTGTTGATGCACTTATCGAGGTGAAGGTCAGTGCTTATTATTACAAATCCTATGACTCAAAATGATGGTTCGCAATAAAGCATAGTGGTCACATCACACATCTGTACCAACAAGTACAAATCCTACTCCTGTGCCCTCTTAACCATACTATATTTATTAGAATGCACAGCAGTATCATTGAACAGCATCTTTTTGAGCAGACCTGCTTATTTTCTGATCGTATATATTATTTGAACTTGTGGAAAATGTTCACTTATTCATATATCTCAGCAAGAAGCCTACTTAATAGATGGTATACTTGAAAAAAACCACAAGGTCACTCATTTATTCAACAAAATATCAAGCTGTAATTTTATTCTATTGAGCAAACATAATATGAAAGTTGGCATCATAGGCTACAGTGTCCCCTTTAGCAACAATAACTTTATTGAAACATATGCAAACATACATGGAAATCCAGTATAAAGAGCAAAAAAAGATATTTGAAATTTGAAAGGCAATATCTGACATGACCTCCTTTATTCTTAAACACAGACTGAATTCTCTTAGACAAACTTTCTTGTAATTTCTTGAAGTAGTCTTCAGAAAACGTTCTCCAGGCTTCTTGAAGGATATTCAAAGCTCTTCTTTGGATGTTGGCTGCCTTTTGTTCTGTTGTCTGTCAAGATGATCCCACACTGCTCCAGTGATGTTGAGGTCATGGCTCTGAGGAGGCCAGTCCCCAGAGCTCGTACCTGTGATGGTGACTGATAAGTCTTCTGTGTTTTTCTATCCAGGGAGGATTTCCCTGCAGTGGCAGTGTGTTTGAGGATGCCGTGCTGACAAATGAAGCATTTGGCACTCAGGTGCTTTCCAATAGGTCAAAATGTGACAGTACTTTTCCTTAAACCAAAACCAACAGAAATGCATGGCCCATCACAGAGCCTCCATCATCTTTTACTGACGGCTGTAGACACTCACTGTTGTAGCTCTCCTGACCTCGGTGATTTGAACCAGAAATTAGACATTTGGATGGATGGATTCATCACTCCATAAGAGATATCGCCCCTCTGTTTCAGCCCAGTTCTTGTGTAATTTGGCATAACCCCAACCTTTTCTGCCTGTTTTCCTTCCTTAAGAATGGTTCAAAAGCGACCCTTTCACCATTTGATGAGGCTTCAGTAACAGTGCATGGATCAACTGAAGATCCAGCTACAGAAAACCAGGAGAACTGTTGCTCAAGGCCACTTTAAAAAATACACAAAGCAAACTGTAAAGAAACGAGAGGTGGCTCAAATATGTTGCACAGCTCTGTATTTTGAGGAAATAATAATCAGTCGTTGACATCACCTGGCTGGCTTCCTGTAGCCACCCCTTGTGCATAAGAGAGCGGCTGAAAGTAGCTTCTACCTCCTGCTTTAAATTCCTTCACTGCATCGCTATCATGACTACGGTCATTCTATTACTCCCACCATTTTTCTTTTTGTAAGGTCCAATTCAACTTCAATTTTAAGCCAGTTGTCCTCACATTGTCTTCAAGCACTGTTTGATTTGATGTAGAACTCATAGTTGAGTCAATGACTGCAAGCTGCCCCTGAGGCAGTGAAGAAACCGAGAATCACAAAATTCCCACCACTGTTTTGCAGTTTGTGCAGCTCTTGGCATGATCCTCACTGATGTGACTGTATGCTTACATTTCTCCTGTTCCTTGAGATTTGACTGTATCTCTCTGTGTGTACGTGTGTGTTACACAAACACACCTATACACTCCTTTGTATGTCTGTATCCACAGCAAATGGAAGCGGCAGTAGACTCAAGGTCTCTTGTGAAAGAAAAGACTGCAAACACCTGGACAAAAAAACCAAAAGCATAATGCCACACACTGCATAGGTGTGTGTGTGTGTGTGTGTGTGTGTGTGTGTGTGTGTGTGTGTGTGTGTGTGTGTGTGTGTGTGTGTGTGTGTGTGTGTGTGTGTGAAGGCTGCAGGAACAAAAAAGGAGATATCTGTTGCCTCTTCATCAAGCTCAACTTGCTAACTCTTTCTCCTTCACACACATGCACACACACACACACACACACAGGCACACACACACACAGACACACACATGCACACACACATGCAGTTCTTTTTTTTCTTTTTCCCCCTCAAACACACACATGCACAAACACACATATACGAGCAGGCAGGCGACCTCACAGACGCATAGAAACCCAGTATTTAGTTCCTGCGTCATTACAGTAGCCATCTGTCAGTATGCAGGCACACATACACGGACTTGGCTCTGTGTATGCATCCACTACTCACTCACACACACATGCACACTAGCCAGAGGAATACACTCACCCCAGGAATATCTCACCCTGGTGACCCTCTGTGCCCCGCACGCCCCGTTGCTTTGATTGATTTTCTATAAAGATTCATATTCTTGGCTCAATCTGAGAGGTGAAAGGCTTTCTTTCCCTAGTTTTCTCATCCATTGTTCTGTTTTTCTCCTTTCCCTTGTCTTTCTCTCCATCCCTACCCACGTGAATCTGTCTGTTTGTTTGAGTCTGCCAAAGGCTGATGTCATTGTCCACCAGCGTACTTCCAGTGCGTGAGATGAAATGAATGTTAGATATAATCCCACGGTTTTAATCCCGGCCACTCCCAATCCGCTGCCTGCACACACCGGACAGCCGGAGAAAAATCTTATGATCAGCACAGTTTTGTTTAACCGTGAAAGCACGCAGTGTTTGGAGAGGAGTGCGGGACACACAGTTGGGCCTCGAGCAGCCTTTAAAAATGATCTCACATTATTCAAAGATGCCCACCTGCTGTGCTCATAGAGAGAGGGAGAGAGAGAGAGAGAGATGGAAGATTATTTATTTCTCATGGGTGGGAGACAGTGAGTGAGCGAGCGAGCGAGTGGGAGGGAGGGCGGCAGTCAGAAGCAAGCAAACTAATTCTCAGACAGTCGTGCCAGAGCAGGAGCTGCAGTTCACCTCGCTGACTCTGTCGGTTTAAAAGCCATTTTAAGTGTTATTCAACCATTAATTTATTCCCAATTAACAAGTAGGACGATACTTTCCATTTTGGACAGGGGGCTTCAAACACGCGCACCCGCACTTCTTCCGAGCCGCGACAACTCAAGGTAAGGCTTCAAACTTCAAATGACAAACGCGAATTAATTTCATGTCTCCGTATTGTATCCTGCGTGGCTGCTAGGAAGCAGTAATTAAATAAAAGATTAGATAAAAGAGACGCTTTCTTTCCTTTTCTCCTGGCGCGCTGCTTCTTCGGTTACTGCCGACGTGCGCGGTGCAGCCAGCGTGCGTAAAGCAGCTGCAGCGATAATCTCCAAAGTGGCAACCAGCAGGACTCATACAGCGTTACTGGCTTCTTCTCGTCCCATAATGAAAACAGAAGGAACAGATTACATCTAACAAGTAACAACGACTTTTTTAAAGAGTAATAACAAACGACGGTGTTGGACGTTTGTAACTTGCTGCATTAAGTTTTCGTCCTCATGCTACTGAACCTTAAACAGTTCTACAACAAAAGTCTGGAAAATACGCTTAAGGAAAAGTGAGAGCGTTCAAAGCTCTTCGTCAGAGAGGTGTTTTACAAGTGCAGCTCATCCTTTTCACGCTCCCAGCACAGCAGCTGTATTAGTTTTGAGTAAAATTAAGAGACCCCCTTAGAAGAAAAACAACCTAAAACCTTCACATATTCATCCTCACATCCTTTCTCTCTCTCTCTCTGCTAAACCGTATCCAGCTCTAGGTTTACCAGGTTTTTTCTTTTTCTAACCATGCATTTCTACACTTACTAAGTCAGCATTATGAGTTTTATGCTGAATCAAGGCGGCTGATTACGTTTAAAGTGGGCTTTTCAAATAAGTGATTATGCTCAAATGCTTTGAGAGTGACTGCAGAAATCATTTAATGTAGTGGCCAGTCACAGCCTTCACAGAGCACCACTTTTTCATAAAAGGGACAGCAAATGCAAATGTACTGTTTGAATAATTTTATTCAAATATATTGAAACCGATAAAGAGTTTATTAAAGACACAATGGATAGTACATCATATTTAATTTTATTTTTTATGAGGCCACCCCCTGCTGGCCTCATTAACTTCATTAATGTGAGCTCCTGCAGTTTGATAAAGTGGGCTGGCAGAGTGGAGAAAACATGAGAGAAATCCATGTATATGCTGCTACACTACTGCACCCCAGAGAGAGACAGAGTAAAAGAGGTTGCTGAGCTGAGAAAGCAAACACAGTGGCCAAGGAAAAAAATGTGGATGTTTACATATTCATCTCATTTGACTTGCAAGGGCTGCTGTGTATTTCCCAACACAGTTTCTTTTACTCTCTAGATTTAGCGCGCTTTGATTTTATGTAACAAGGCAAAAAATAACGTTTCAAGCATCACATCTCACACAGTTCACACCTGCATGCTGAGCTGTCAGCTTCACAATATGCACTGTCGGTATAGTTATATATATAGTTATAGTTATTTCTTTATTCATTCATCCTTCCAAGCCTTCATTTCACCACCCACTGCTCTTTCATTTGTGGCCACTGTCCCTTAAACCTGTAAATTTTTTAATGCATCTCTTGAGACCTCGTTTAGAGTTTGTAGAGAAAAGCTCCAGCCTAAAGCACAAAAGGCTTTCACATCGCTTGTGAGTTTTGTCATTGTATTGTTCATCGTGAAAAGGCAGCCGTGCTCGGATTTAGCTGGACAAGCCAAAAAGCTGACAAGCCAACACTTCACGTTCCCAACCAAACAAAGGTGGTTTCACTGATACACGGGATGTGTGTAATCAGGTGTATCTGTGTGCATTTACTTTTTTTCGTTGTTGTTTTTTGTCAGTCACCAACCTGCTTTTTTGATAATGGAAGCTGCGGCTCAGGTTGTGCCCTGCATCCAGACAACAGTGAACGCTGCCTTTTAAAAGTCAGGTTTCATTTTGAAGCTTTTCATCCGGCGGACCTGTGACATGCAGTCAGAAATGTTTGCAGAACCAAGGACGACAAGTTGCGTATAAATCAGCTTACTGTAACATAAAAACTGAGATATAACATTTAGTCATGTGCAGTTTATGTGGCACGTAACTGTCGGGGACACAGTTTAAATCTGAGTGCTGACCTGCTTTACCTCCACTGAGCCTTTTTATAATTTGATCACGTTTGTTTGGCTGTGAGCTTCTTTTTTATCTTCAGAATATATGAAAGCGAGTATTTTTATGTTGTTTTTGAAATATTTTAGCATTTCTTCAATGAGAAACTGATTGTTTAAAATTGGTGCACTTTGCTGGTGGGTTATAAACAGTGTTACACAACACATACTGTATGTTTCGCTTCCTCTGCTTTACCTTAAACCAGAAGAAAGGATTGCTTGAAATACCGACACATCAGCCCAAGTATTTCTTTATGAAGCGAAAGGTTAAAGGAAATGTGCAACTAAAAAGGAAAATCCTTAACTATAGAAAAAGTAAATGTTGTTTATTAATAAGGGTGGAGAATGTTGGGGAGAGAGCGCCGCATATCCGGTTTTATCTGCCCCTGCAGGCAATTTTACAGATTTATGATTTCATCAATAGCTGACCTAATAGGTAGATGCTGGTGTATTGTGGGCATCAATATCCCATTATAAAGTAATGGTATGCCATAATAGTAGCTGATAACTGTGGATGCTGTAAACACCCTCTGATTCTGGTTGATTCTGAATGTTTCCCTCTGAGTCTGCTGCTCAGAACAGAGTCGCAGACTTTGGTGCAATCTGTAACGGCCATGTCCATGACCACAGAGCTTTTCCATCACAGCAGCCCTCACAGATTATATATGGTGGTTGCAGGAGATCCATCAACATGACTTTAAGGACCCTTCGTGTTCGCTCTCTGTCACTATATTTGGTAGGCAGTAATGATCCTTACGTGCCCCCCGGGACTTGTTGTCATGAAGAATTTGGCAGTGTCTGTGGCAAACACCGGGCTACCGGAAAGTTGAATAGATAGAAAAAAGTTTGACAGCAAATAGTCAAATCAAAAACTTGTTTTTTTTCCTGCACACATGCTACCTATGTTACATAAGCATGAGCTTCAGGATAAACTGCACACACAGCATATGCTTGTGTTTTTTCTCCTTTACTGAGTTTGGTGCCAGAGGTTTCTAATGTCCTGCCATCCTTGCTCATCTTCTGCCATCCTGCTCTCTCATACTCCCATGTCATCTGCTCTCTGAGTCTGCAGCTGAGCCTTCTGTCCCTTGCTGAACTCTAAATGTCTGTCTGTCTAGTTATATGTCAAAAGTACATATTATAATATATGGCTAATGCAGCAGAATACAGGACTGGAAAATGAACCAGAAAAAAGCTTTTGGCCATTATGGAAAGTTACCTCTGAAAATTTTATAACTTATCCTGGAGTTTTACTGGTCAGCCTGAAGTTCGAGGGCAGGCTGCCTTGATTGACGGGTTTGCAGACACACAGAGTTCTAGGGAGAGAGAGACAGACTCTGTGCAAGGAACAAGTTTTGTTGCACTTGGCTGAACACGGCACAAAATATGTAAAAACAAAGAAAAAGATGTCAATTTGCTAAATATTTTCAATTTAATAAAATATGCAGCAGCAAAAAAAACTACTAAAAAAGTGGTCTGTGTAATATAATACAGAAACATGGTATCAGTAGTGGTAGTAGCAGTTGTATCCAGTAGCCTAGCTTACTTTAGCCCCAAACAGGTCACCAAGCTGGACCTCTCTTCTGCATTTGTCGCCTTTTAGAACAGTTTCAATGGGATTAGCTGACATATGCATATAACATGAACTTCAGTTATCTAGTTTACTTCATGCTAATTAGCCCGTGCAATGTGCCCATGCTATAGATGTGGTTTGCTAACCAAGCTTGCCAGGTTCAACTAATAACCTAGCACCTCACCTTTTTATCCAGATATGGTAACTTAAGCCAACACTGCAGCTTCAGAATGCCCAATGTCTGATGCCATGGTGCAACCTGATATCACAGCAAAGCATTTAATAGACACACCAGTCCACCATGTCCATTTCACACTTTGCCTCTCCCAAACATGAAATGTACACACGTGCAGAAGAGACGCTTTATTTCAAGCCAACATGAAAATAATCACAGGAAAATGTTTAAACAGACATTATTAACACATTTACATATATGGACATATTAGCCGACTAGCTTATTCATTTCTCACAATTACCATGGACTGTACTTAATATGTTTTTAGCTCACTACCAGCTTCATGGCTTTACAAATATTATCTCTCCTTGCTGGAAATACATCTTCTCCATGTTTTGGAGAGGCAAAGTGTGAAATGGACATGGTGGACCGGTGTTTCTTTTGCCGTGATACTGGGTTGCACGGTGACTGCATATTCTATTCATTCGTTAATGTACAGCTAACGCAGGCGATCCAAATGAAATGCCTGATGTTTCATCAGATGCAGTTCCCCTTGTGAGATTAATATTCTAGTTATTGTGCATGACAATTAATAAACTGATGCTCAAATAGACCAGACCACAAATTTCATCTGAATTTAAGTTCAGTTCATAAAAAGGTATGTAGTATATGCTGTACTAAAGTATATACAGTATTATATGATATAATAGGGCACTGTCTATACTAAAATCACAGATGTCATCTACAACCTGAGATCTGCTGCTGTCAACTGGATTGGATGGCTGAACATTTCTCAGAATATTTGTCCTTAACAGAGAAAGGCTTAATATTAATATTCCAACCTGTTGTTAACAAGTGGTAAGCTCAAGGCTGACAAATAAAGCCATTGTAGAAGTGCCAAAATCAGTTATTTTAATGGCCACTCGAGTGACTCCAATGACCCACGTCGTTGTAATGCCAAACTTCTGCATGTCCATGCAGCATTTTTACAGCCAGGTGCAAAAAATAGACTCATCTCTATAGTTAATTTCCCCTTTAATAACAACTCTCTGTTGTTAATATTTTCTATAACCTATCCTGTGCAGTACTTAAAATTTGGTTTTGATTGACAGGTGTGCTGACACTGGCAGCTGTAGCTGAGCTGTCACCGCCACTGAACTGGACCTGTCAGCTGTGTTTGTGCTGCTGGCACCCTATGGAGGATTTTTATTTAAAGGAA